AATTATTTCCACTAAAATATTTGCAGAAGTGAACAATGAATTCAAATATTTTTGGAATGAAACATTTAGGTACATTGTCATGAAAATAAACGAGTTACTTTGTYGTTAGTTTGCAGGGGTTGTGTTTTTCCTCTTTTTTGGACTGGTTCTTTTTTTTTTCCTTCAAAAATGCTGAAATTGAGTGATTGCCTGGGATTATTGTACAGTAATTTACAACTGATGAATCAAGATATATTTTTTTTTTAAATCACTATGCTGATTTGGAAAGCTCATTCTTTCCTTTACTCTGTGAAATAAACTSATTACATGTCTAAGGAACAGAAAGAAAAAGATGAGAGGGTAACATAGAAACACATTTTTTCCTGGCAATTTCTCCCCAAGCTTTATAGATAATTGAATTTTAAAATATCTTTTTTAGTCGTGTCTGCTTTCTCTAAAATTCCTTGAGTAACTGAGCTTAACTTGCATATTGCAATTGCCATGTGTTTCGCATGGGTAGCATGGTACATATTGAAATGTTGATATCCTATTTTTTGGAGTATCCTAACACTCGATTATTTATTAATGGTTAAAAGAAAGATAAATGTGAACTAAATAATTTTTGATATATTACAGCGAATAAAAAAGCATTGAAAACACTATTTGATTGACAGACTGTTTTAAACTAACTCCAGATGATGATGGTAAACTGGAAAAAGGAATGAGAAACAACTCGAAACTGTCAGTAGCTGTGTCTGTGAGACTGCTGAGAGCAGCTCTTCTTATCTGTCAAAATTGGTGGATCTGGCAAAACAAAAACTGAAACAAAGGCTCCCCCAAACCCCATCCCAAGAACCTCTCAGTGCTCCCTGGGGCAGCACTGGCTGTTTCTGACCCTGCCCTCCAAATCACTCTGCAAAGAGACCATTTCTGCTCAGAGCTGGGCTCAGCTGTGCTCCCTCAGCTTCAGGGGCCACATCCCAGTTATACAGAGCAAACTGGCTTTGTGTGAATCCKACCAGGTAAAACTACCCCTAGTGGATTGATTTGGAATGTAAATTTATTTCAGATCCAGTATTCAAATGAGTACATTCTATCACAAAGGCTCTCTGTATTTTCTTTCAGTTCAGTAATGTTTTATTATAATGGAAAATCAAAWTTTAAAAGGAAAAGATGCCAAGTGCTTCAAAGTATTAGAGAAGGGAAAACAAATATTGGCTTGATATTATAATCTTAATAACCTTATTTAGATAAGGTGATTGCCTTAGACTAGAAGCCTGATGAACAATATTATTTATTAAAAGGTCAGATTTGGATACAATTAAATTGAAATGAGAACATTTTGCTTTTATGTCCAAAATAATAGATACAATCTGAAGAAAATATTTACATGTTTTAAGGAGATAAATATCTTAATGGTCCCTTAACAGTAGAGCTTTTTGTATAACTTGACCTCAAATAATAATAGAAGAGTAATGTACAACCTAGTTATCCTTGTTTATACCCTGTTGACAGAGCTTGGCATGGTAATGACTTTGATCACATGATTGGAGATTTAATGAGAGAACTTCTTGGTCACCACAGAAGGGCAAAATGAGGTTCAAAATRCTTTGTGTTGTTATTAAAAATGAAAAAAAAAATCCAATAGGATTTGCTCTCACCACCTTTTAAGATATATATTTACCACATTAAAATTTCATGACAAATATGTAAAACAAATAAAGCTACGCTCATCGAGACACTATTTGAGCTCCAGAAAAATATCTACTAGATTTTGCAAGGTTAAGAAAACAATAAAATAAGAAAGTGCCCATTCAGTCCTTTTTTTTTTCTTCTGTGTCTTGCATTCATTGTCACAAAAAAAGAAAAAGTTCTCTTAATTTGAAATTGGCTATATGGAAGAACAAAACCATAGAGAACAAAGCAGAAAATACCGTTTGATTATTGTGATTGCATCTTGCACTTGGGTGCACGGTCTGTCTCTAAACTCTGACTCATCTGCCAGCAGCAGGCTTTAAGGTGATAATCACCCACACAGAGCTATTTGCACATCATGTCTATCCTATCCTCTATCTAATTATACCCTTTGTAACAAACTGTTTAGCATAATTAGTGGAGTTATGCTTTACAGGAAAAAAGATAGAAGCAATAGTTTAGAAGATCCAACTTTTTGAAGGCATACATGTATAGATTAGTAATGTTGGTATTTGGTCACAATAATGAACGTTTTGATGCACTGGTCTATGTAAAATTGTACAATCATTATTTTAGCAAGTAAAATAATGTAGTTTTCAGAATATTTACATACTTTATGTAAGCATTGCTTAAAATTATGAAATGGTTTTGGGACTCATTAATTGCTAACACTTTCACCAGTATTTTTTCAGACGTGGCTGAAAAATGCTGAAAGGGCCAGCATTGTAATCAAGAATGCTGGAAATGATCAGAGAACCTATTATTCATCTGATAGACAACAGCAGGTACAAATGACCTTAATGGGAAAGCTCTGATTTTTTTTTTTTTTGTTTTCTTCTAGATGATCAGAAAGGATGTTTACTAATGACCACTCTTTCTTTGTGTTCAAATTTTACTGATAAGCACCTTGAATATAAAATCCTTTGGGGTAAAAAAGAAATAGAGAATAATACATATGTATGCACACGGGTAAATATATTTTATTTCTCTTTGCCTTCATTGCACTCTTAAAAAGTGTTAAATGAACTTTGCTTGGGGTGCTATCTTCTTTGCATGCTGGAAGTTTATTCTTTCTAACCCCCCTGCCCCAAACCCACCCTCCTTGTAAACTAGAAAGAGCTGAGAGCACACAAAAGCCAATACCCCTCTGCAGGTGTTTGCTGCCAGGCAAAATGAAACCCAAACTGTATCTCCCGAGAGTAACTTCCTGTCCCCAGATGGGAAAAAACTCTGCTGATATGAAAACAAATACTGTATTAGCATAGACAAAACAAAAAAATCATGCAGAATCCATTAAAGCAGCCACAACTAATTAATCTTGTTTGGTTTTGTGTGTTAATTGGACTTCTGTTAAATTCTCTTTGAGAACAGGATAAATTTATGGATTCTATCCTTGTTTAACACAAATTCTGCTATTCCTTGTTATAGGAAAGATGTTCAGAACATTAAGCAAGTAGAGTTATTTTCCCCCTGAGCTATTTAAGAAAAAACACCTGGAAAAAACAAGCAGAATATCAGTATTTACTTGTGCTCATGAAGAGATGCTCATGCTTCACCCCTTTCAGGTAGGCAAAGAAATCTGTTGAATTCTACCACATATTATTCCAAGACATTTACAGCAGATCAAAGATAAAGCACAGATTTGCAGCAACTCTCATATTTCTATAGAATGTTAAACAGAATTTTCTCAATTTGTAATAAATAAACTGTACTAATCACCCTGGTGTAAAATACAAAGAGGTCAACAATGCATCCTTTCAGCTCACCATTGTTCAAAAGGTATTTGAGTTTCCCTATTAAGTTTTCAAAGGCCAACATCTGCTGATGCTCAGAAATGGTAGATGTGGTGACGAAGGCTGTATGGGGTGTGAAGTGAAAACACAACCATATACACCATGCAACACACTACTAAGAAACTATAGCACAATCAAACTCCAAAGAGCTCTTTCCCATTCATCCCATTTCTGTTATTAATGGCAGGGATATTTTTGAGAATAGTGACATAAACATATTCTCTTAGTTAATTTTTTTTGTTATGAAATAKATGTATAAACACAAAGTTTTGGAAATAGCATATCACTATGAATCTGCAGTCGTACAAATACCAGAGGAGACACTAGASCAGGCGAATGACATTATTAAGATTAAAGGCTTTCATTTGCACATTATTGTCATTGATGCTGTTTCGCTATTTAAAGCTGAAAACAGATGCTGTGGCATTCAGCTGCTAACCCTGCTCTCACTTGCAAGGGAGATAGTTTTGATGGCATTTAACTTGGCTGTCTAGGGTTTAACAAATCAGTGCTATTCACGAGCTTAAGAAAACTGAGTTGATTACAAATTGATAGTCCTGACCCTGCATCACAAGATGTGAGACAGTTTTACCCAAATTATTAAAAACTTTTCAGTCAGATACTGACTATGGCCAATTGCATTCAACAACTGCGGTATTTTATACTTGTGATAGTCCTGCATTATGCAAGTTGTGTCTAAAGGATCTGCAAAGCTGAGGCAGTGGGGAATATTCTTTGAGTGAGCCGCAGCAGGATGGCATTTCTCCCTCCCTGCTTTATTGGTAATTAGCTAACGTGCCATGGCTGTGTGCACTCTTCAGCTCAGCCCAGACTCACAGCTCAGCTGCTGTGCACTTGGGCTCTTCACGTGGTTTGTTTAAGTAATCATCTATTTCATTGATGYAGTAGTTCTTTATATAATAGAGTTATGGTTTTGTTACAGTTTAAATGTAATATTTTGGTCCTTTAATTGCATACAGGAAAGCACTTTTTCTGTGAAGGAACACAATTCTATTTATTTTATGGAGTAAAGCTGAGTTCAAAGCCCGCTAGAGTTAATGCCGATTCCAGCAGATATGCTGCATTTGCTAATCTACTTCATAAAAATGAAAGCTATTCCATTTATAAACTCTTCCATTTGCTCTTTGAAYTTACACATACAGAAACATACATGAAAATTATTGATCCTATACTTCTCTTACCAGCCAATAGATTTTTTTCAAGATGCTCAACAAATATTTTTCTGTGCAACGCTGTCTTAATTCTTTGTGTCACACTCAGTTTTATAAGACTCAGTGCTCATCTGGTGATAAAGAATCGATCAGAAAATCTGAATGCAGATATAAAGAGTGACATTCTCTCTGACCACATAGTAACAGTTACATATTAATGCAAGAGAGGAAGGCCAATTCACAGCCCCTGYACCATAGGGCAGCTGTCAGAGGAGCATGATCTACATCAGAAAGGGATGTTGGGAAATCAGATCCATGAAGCTGAATGACAATGCAAAACAATACTGGTTTTATTACTTACTACCAATACTGGAAATACTGGGTATACCTGTAGAGAAAGAAAACACAAAGAAATGTAGTTAGCTGTTTGCTGTAGTTGGCTGAGCTATTTCATCTCAGATTCTGAAAACATTTTAAGAATAATTTATCAATACATAGTTAAACACAAGCTGCCACATAACTGCCATTACTGCCCAGTCCTTTATAAATGCAGAGCCTTTAGATTTTTCAGTACGGGGCTGCAGGGACTGCTAAAATGCATTGACAGATGGGATCTATACCAGCTCTCTGAACTTCATGAATTTGTTCAGAACAGTTTTGTATTTCAACTAACCAGCCATTAGGTTTAATGCTCTAGATAAAAATATCAGTCATGCATGTATTATGCAGATCTAGGGGAGTAATTTAACCCAGGGATAGATGCACTGCTAACTGCTTTGGCCAGCTGCTGAAATCAGTTGGTACCTTCTGTTACATTAATTGTGGATAGCTATTTTTCCCTCTTTTACCTGACGGTTATCTAAATTAAGCTATGTAAAAGAAATGTAGTTGAGTGAAACAACCTAATGCAGTAGGTTGCCCATATTGATTACACCTCTCATTGATTTATTTTTTTTTTCTGCGTTCGTTTCAATTCCTAAACTGAATTAATGCAAGGAAACCATTGGTGGAGGCAGGTGAGATTTACCATAAGAGGTGGGGCTGTTCAGGAGTAAAATGCCTTTACTGCACTGGCAATATGTGATCTCATGTTGTAGGATGCAATCCCAATGTCTATCTTATCAGGTCTGCTCTGAAACGTGTGTAGCACAAAACCATGGATAGGAAATCTTTCCGGAAATGCCAAAGCATTCAACACCATCGTTAATGGCACTATGGCTCATCACTTGGGTTAGTCAGAAACTGCAGATCAGTATAAAAATTCTGGATGTTTTCATCCTCTTCCTTAAATACAGTTTGCCTTTTTAAAGTTTTATTGACTTGTGTGGCACACATTTTGCTGCAGAAATCTGTTTCTCCATTAAACATCTGCCACACTTCTTCAAATATCTATCTTGAAGTTCTCCCTTACTYAGAGATGGCATGGACTTCACTCTGCAATTAAGCAAACTGGAGCAAAGGAATGCCTTGAGAATAAATGATATTCAATGTGAGCAAGGTTGTAGGGCCAAGCTGGGAACGCTCCTGACTTGTAGCATGGCTAAGACAATGCTGAAGTAACAGAATTTGCAGAATGGGGACTAAAACTAGATTTTTTTATGTTTCAACACATCAGCCCTGGGGCAGGTGTCAGAATTGCAGCTCTCTGGTTTCATATCTTATGACACCTGTGGCCTGGCAGAGCACCATACATAGCACCTGCTGCTCACCCAGCCCTACACTCGGATGTTGTTTGCAAACTTAATTATTTCTACTTCTGCTGAGATTAACCTGTATTTTCCAAAACGTTAGCACCATGAGGTATCAAAAGCTAAATGCAAATATCATCATAATTGAATAATGCGGTCATAATTCTAAAGTAACAAACTTAGGATAATTAAAGAGAACTTCTATCCCCTTGTCTTAAATGTCAAAAAGACAATCAATGTTCAAATAATTTCCCCTGAAGCTTCAACAGCAGCTTATTTAATTTTTTGCAAGTCATTGATAGCTGGTTTAAATTAGCAGGATTAGTTTTCCTTTATACACTCATGGAACCTACACAAATATTAGATAAAAGACAAAAACGGTGTTCTCGCACTCACACTTGCACTGTGAAATGGTATTTGTATTTCCTCTGGGTATACTCCCCCGCCTCAAACCTCTCTGTCTCCTACACACACATACAAATATCCTTTCTTTTCTCTCCTGAACAGATTGTAGCAAARGGAGAGGTTTTCCTGCAAGCCTGCTCTCCTCATTTTATCGTACTTCAAAATTTTCAATGAATTTGTAGTGATAAATGCTTCCTGGGCAGAGAATAATGAACACAAGATGCCTGCTAGCCTGAGGGCTATGTATTAACCTTGCAAAGATATCTTCAGGTTCTKTTTCAAAAGCTGTTTTGCTATTTCTGTACAGAATTTCCTAGTTGGTGTGGTCTTCTGTAACCAGACTGATTTTTGTGCTACCAGGTATCCCTGTGTGAGGTGAGTGGCCTTGATAGTGCACTACTTATGCCGTTCTTACTAAAGAGAGTGAGAATGACACTTGTGAGTTTGTCTGGAAAGGAGCTGGTTATGTAGGGCCACAAAGCAGGATCTATTAACACTCTGTGAAAACCGCACATATGATGGGGAAATTATTCTTAGAAGGAGTGTTTGTGTGAGATCTGGAGTTACATATTGAGGCTAGCTCTTGATTCAGCTGAGCTGTATTTGGTACAAGTCCTTAGGTAACGAGGCACAGGAGGTGTGATTCTGCTCTCCCTCTCTGTCAGTGTGGAGGCAGGCC